ATCGCCCATTAAACACTTATGTTCATTTCTCAGAAGACATTGTGAAATCTTGTTGCATTTTGCACAACTTTATTCGCAAAAGGGATGGTTTCAATTTTCGTCACAGTTTGAAAATAGTGGGACTCGAAGATATACAAAATACAGGCTGGCCTGTAACACGAACGTCTACTGCAAGAGATACGTTAAAAGATTATTTTATGAATGAAGGAGCAATACCGTGGCATGAAAATAGAATATAAATATATGGTTTTTTATTATTTTATTAAACATACCTTCAATGTTCTTTTCTTTGGCAGATTTCTTCCCAGGCCTTCACTTTTTCTCCTCTATTACTAAAACTATCACTTTTTGAATCCCAAACTCGCAGGACGGGATTGTATTTCTGATATAAATAATTATATATCCATATTTATACCTAATACCTAACACTAACACGTTATGTATACGAGTACATAGGTACACTATCACCCATGCTCATATATGCTTCACTAAGACATATATACACTAAGTCATAAATTCACTAACACATACATACATTAACACTTACATACACTAAACCATACATGCACCATCACACACACCCACTTAAATGTGAGTATATTTGTAATATTTGTAATAGTCTCTCGATCAAATTGATGTACCTACTTAAATTCCATTCGGTCCGGATGCGGAGGGACTGGCAATCTGTAATACAGGTATCCTAGTACAGTCGCCAGTCTCTCACACAGATTTTGCCTGTTAATGCTGAAATTTGTATTTTGTGTCTGTATTTTTGTGTGAGAGAAAACAAATAAATATTTTATTATTTATTATAATTATATATCCATATTTATACCTACCTATATGAACCACAGACTACGTGTGTGCGTTACCGTCGACTTCAGGTTAACTGAGGCAAGGGAGAGGGGCGCGGAATCGCGCGAGTGGCGTGTGGCGGGCGGCGGCTTTTTGTGTCGGCGTTTAGTGGCCGGTGCGAGCCACAAGAAGCAAGCTGCGACGATTTGTAGCGTGTGGCCGCCACCGGCGCCAACCGTGTGCGGCGAGTCCATATAAAATCTATGAAAATTGCAGGAAATATGCCAGTGGCGGCGTTTTGTGGTTGTGTCCGGTGGCCCGTGTGCGGTGACCCTAAATGTCGTCAAGAATCTTGGTTATTGCCAAATATTTCATATTACTATTTTAATATTAATAAATATTTTGGTAATTTGTTATTAGTATTAATGTACAATACATATAATATAGGTATTTTGTACAGAATATTCAAAAAATACAAATTTAAAATGAATTTATGATCTTGTAAATCATATTATAGACCAATAGTGCCAGGTGGAGTTGCTTTGTTTCTCTTGGGATTACTATGCTTTTATGTACTGTAAACATACAAAAATGAATTAGATTAAATACTTATTTATTTCATATCGGTACACTATTCATAATGCTTACAACAACAGGTATGTAGTTATTTTACTTGAATATATTAACTTCATATTTCGTTGCTAATAATATGAATAGCACACTATTAAAACTTACTTATGCTAAAAAGCATCTTGATACCTATATCTCAAGGTCAGATAGCATCCGCAGCAGGCTTTTTAGTAGAGAGATGTCTACAGAATCTCCTCCTCTCTCTCTCTTTCTATTAGAAGCAGCAGACCATCTACTGTCCTTGTTTGGATCAATGTGTTCATCGCTATATAGTGTCGGAATAGGTCTAGACTCTAGACCCATATCCCTAAAAACATTACAATTTATTAATGATTTGAGTCATGATCATAATGTAACGATTACCTAATATAATTTCGGGACAAATTCAAATTTCAAACACTAAAAGGATGCTATACTGATATTGTATATACAGAGTATTTAAATTTGAAAAATTATCATTGTCTAGAAGAAACAATATATAAATGGTTATTAGTAAAAGCTTGTTGATTACCACGGAGTTGAAGTTACATAGGAGGCACTATCAAACCAACCAAAATTGAGAAGTTTCATTGTTATAGCATGTAAACTACGTATATTTTTTCTTTGTTTTACCAATGGTGAGGAAAATCTAAAAATCATGCGTTAAAAATCAATATACAATTTCACGACAATGATAATATGATATTTGTGTTGTTGGAAAGTTTCTCAGTCCATAAAAAATCCTATAGGCCGAACGTTTTATGAGTACTATGACATAGGGCCATTCGTAGTTCATGCGCAAAAAGTTTCTTCAGATACGGACATCTCCTCCCTACACCCCGTCCAATTTGGGTATTTCCTCAAGAAAAATTCTTTTAAAAACATAATTAATGGTAGCATGAAAAGGATAGGCAGAAACCGAATTTCCCTATCATTCTCAGATCACAAATGTGTAAACGAATTTATTAAGTCTTGCTTGGCAAAAAAATAATTACAAAGCTTTTGCACATTACATTCCCTCATTTAATGTGACCCGAATGGACCTGGTGCGAGGCGTTCCCGCGGAATGGTCCCCCGAAGAGATATTAGACATCATCTCTCTGCCTGTAGGCTGCGGAGGAATTATAAAAATTAGACGACTAAATTATAAAGTACATAACAGCAGCCCTACTGAGTGGAAGCCATCACAGACTATTGTAATAACTTTCGATGGTCAAACCCTACCTAAACATGTATTTGTCTGTTACAATGCCCTGCCCGTGGAACTTTACGCATACCCCACTATTCAGTGCTAACTGCTATTCTTGTTGTCGATTTGGTCATACTAAGTCTAATTGTAACTCTCGGCCCCGGTGTTACAAGTGTGGCCAAGGCCATACTGGGGACTCATGCAACATACAAGATGATGCCGCGTCTTGCTGTATATGTTCTGGTCTACACTTTGCTACAAACAGATAGTGTCCAGAATATGAACGGCAGACAAAAATTAAACTGTATATGGCTCAGAAATGTGCATCTTACGCAGAAGCAAATAAAGTGTATGATCCAGTTTCAAAATCTTTTGCTGATATAGGTAGTTAAGTTTTCAAACATCCAGAATACTCCTTATTCTCCTGTCCCACATGTATCGCCTTCCTCTCCCTCGATTCCGTCGTATAATAGATCTTATAAGAAAACAATATTTGCTAAACCAACATCCTCCAAACTAAAACGACAGGGGTATAACAAAACAGAACACATCAATTTGATAAAGGACTACGACGCTCCAGCTCCGTCTAACGGGGTCGCTTTAATAAACAGTAACCTTAACAAACACAACCTTAACAATAATGAAAAAAAGATGCGTGTACTTATGTACGCGCGTAAGAAGTTATACTTCTTTGGTAAATAGTTTTTGATTGCATGAAAATAATTAATTACAATTAAATAATCAAAGACTGGAAAAGGAGTCATTATAGTCAATAAAGTTCAGTTTACATTTGAAAAATTAAATAAATAAATATTTATTAATATTATATTTATTATTATTTTCTAATATTAATTAGTATTGATTTAAATATTCAATTTAAATTACTTCTGATTATAATTCAGACGCACATATAAAATTCGCACTTGTATAATGAAAACACGTGTTTTAATTAATGTAGAAACTCAAAGCATGTGGATAAATATTATAAATATAAATACACAGTGAACAGAGGCGGCGTGCGTGTCAATATGCGCCACTAACTTCATAGTGATAATTTTGTGTCACGACTCACGGTGCGCGCGCATCGTAAAATTTCACTCTCATCAATTTTTCATAACGCGCCTAAAGAAGTATAACTTCAAAAATCTCTGATGCAATCCAACTTTTGACTGAAATTAAATCCATTTCTAACTCTGACAACAACGTAACCGAACAACGCCGCCCAACGATTGCTTCCTTAACTCAATTAAAATCCTCTTATGCGTCACGAACGCGAACAAATAATCCAGTGGAATTGCAGAAGCGCTATCTGCAATAAAAATGATTTCGTCCATTTGCATAATAAATTTGAACCATTTGTCTCAACTCTGTCGGAAACATGGCTTCGCCCGAAATTGACTTTTCGAATTCCACGTTAGGTTAGGTTATAGGTATGTTATTCTCCGTCCTCCGACAGGACAGACCTGGGGCCTTAGTCAAGATGCCTTAACAGTAGTGTATGTAGAACGTCAAAAACTAAATTTGTATGAAAACTTTTCGACACGAAGTGTCATTTCCATACAAATTAAGTTTTTGACTTTCTACATACACTACTGTTAAGGCATCTTGACTAAGGCCCCTGACGGCTATGACGGTGTTGCCATAGTTATTAAAAATAATCTCCCCTATTCCTTTATTTCTACTCCCCTCATTCGGAGATGACTTATCAGTCATTGCTGCTATTGTAAAAAAAAATTGTATAGTGTCTATTTATTTTTCTCGTCCTTATGTAAATATTTTAACGTCAAAATTTAATGCGGATATGATGTAGGTGATTTAAATCACATCATGTTTGTTTGTCCTCGACGCGACCGGTCGGCTCTTCTCGAAGGTCTCATTTCCTTTCAAATTCCTTTCATCCATATCATGTTTACTTTCAACATTGGACCCACATGTATATAAATTTTTAGTAGCTTTTAATATAAAAATTTAGACAATATGAACGTAAATATGTTTTCTTACACTCCTTTTGTATGTAGATTTATAAGAATTGATCTTTTATTTTATAGATTAATTATTTTCTATTCCTAAATTCCTTTCCAGCCGATAATTTTATGTTTTTACCCGTTTCCCTGTTTTTGACCCTGGGCCACAATGCACAAACCGTGCGGGCCATTAAAAAAAAAAAACTTGGAACTATTTATACTCTGTAGTTCGCGTCGTGTCGTTTGTCCTGGCTGAAAAGCCAATTGTTTAAAAAATATTCATAATAGCGACCTCTATTTCGATTTTCAAAAAAGAAAACAATTATTTTTAATGGTGGTTTTGCTAGAAAATGTCAACTGAACGCTTTTGATTTATAATTTTTTATACATTAAATTTAATTATATTAAATTACGTTGTGGCTGCGGCCATAATATGCTTTCTTATGTCGGAATTAGCTAAAACGCAAGATTTGGTTGAGGAGGGTGGTAATCAGTGTAGAAAACGCTCTCATACCAATAGCGAACATTGCACGAAAAGAGCAAAATTAAACGACATGAGTTCGAGTGAAAAGAATGCGAGTTTTTCAATTTTAAATCCCAATTCAAATGGAAGTAGTATAGCATTAAAACTGGCCTCGTCAATGACCAAGCCCGGGGCGACTGCTAAGAAGCTGGTTATAAAGAACTTTAAAAGTGTGTTTATACTTGTGACCTGCAGACGTATTTTCATAACCTTTATGACATTTGATTAAATAATATGCATATGTTGCAGGTAAACCGAATCTTCCAGAGAATTACCAAGAGACGACATGGAGCAAATTACGAGAGGCTGTAATCGCCATACAGACCTCAAAATCAATAGATTATTCGCTGGAAGAGCTATACCAGGCAGTTGAAAATATGTGTAGTCATAAGGTAATCTATTTGAGATTTTCTGAATAAAATTTTGCTATTCACCTCTTTACATTAATGCCATGGGACTGTTGAAATATTTTTAATACTGTAAATTAAATTCTTCGATCAATAACAATAATTCTGGACAATTGCTTCCAAAAATTTATGTCACAAATAAGGGGGTTATTTAAATCCAAAATCCTTTTCTTTACTATCCTTATTATATACCTGAACGATCTGATGATGACAGATGTTTATTTACTTCTATATTCTTAACTATTAAACCAACAAAAAGATTAAAATCTTAATGATTGTCTAGGTTTACCATAGTAAATTTTATTGTATAGCGATCTATGAATGTTACTCAACCCAACTTAATTTTTCACTTTTAGATGGCCTCACAGTTATATGTCAATCTTACAAATTTAGTAGAGGGACATGTGAAATCAAACATAGAACAATTTCTTTCTGAGAGCATGGATCGACAGGTGTTTTTAAAACGAATGAATGACTGCTGGAAAGCACATTGTCGTCAAATGATAATGATAAGAAGCATTTTCTTATATCTTGACCGTACCTATGTTTTGCAGAATCCTAGTATTCATTCTATTTGGTAAGTATACATATAAACTTGGTAAATTAATATCGAATATAGTAACTTAATTTCAAAGCAAATGTAAGATCCTAGCTACTTAGTTTTTATGTTTTTTTTATTTGATGCTGACTAGTACTTTTCTAATATAATATAATATAATGTCTTTACAGCATCATGCGTTGCATTATTTCTGTGGCCATTTCTAAGTGTAAAATTAAATTTGTGGAAACTGAGGTTCAAGGGTTTTATTAGCTATTTGTTTAGTCTCATTCACTAATTTATCTAGGCTTATAAATTAGGATGAAATATTGTAAGCTTGTTTTTGCAGTCACAGATAACTAAAATTAAAAATTACTGTCAGACTTGCTATAACAATGAAACTTCTCAATTTTGGTTGGTTTGATAGTGCCTCCTATGTAACTTCAACTCCGGGGTAATCAACAAGCTTTTACTAATAACCATTTACAGTCAAACCTGGATAAGCGAGAGTTCAAGGGAGCACAATCTCATTCTCGCTTATGGAGGTTTCTCACTAACCCGAGTTTCTTGCTAATGCAGGTACATGGGTAGCGTTTCTCTCTTATAGAGGTAAGGAGGAGCAAGTACGAATGTAGTAAATATGTAATATGATAAAATTATGTGCATAATGTGCACAACATATTAAATACATATATATTTTATTTGTATTTTAATTGTTTATCTCTAACTGATAAATTTTGTCGAATACTGCTTGATCAACAACCGCCGCGTTTTCAAAGTACTGATGGGGACCGTCTCCAATGCATTTAGAGTACATAATATGTCTCCAATGCATTTAAATAATAAAGCCCGACTGTCGCTTATAGATGTAAAGATAAGTAGCAGTCTCACGGAGGTGCATGAGGGAAAAACGGCTCTCTCTTACAGAGGTTTCTGTTTCTCGCTAATAGAGGTTTTCGGAGCTTAAAATGGCGGTTCCCGGTTATTACTCTCACTTTCTCACTTATCCAGTTCTCACTTACCCAGGTTTGACTGTATATATTGTTTCTATATATAGTATAGCAATTAAGTAAGTATAGCATCCTTTTAGTGTTTGAAATTTGAATTTGTCCCGAAATTATATTAATCTTTACATTATGATCTTGAATCAAATCATTAATAAATTGTAATGTTTTTCAGGGATATGGGTCTAGACCTATTCCGACACCATATAGCGATGAACACATTGATCCAAACAAGGACAGTAGATGGTCTGCTGCTTCTAATAGAAAGAGAGAGAGGAGGAGATTCTGTAGACATCTCTCTACTAAAAAGCCTGCTGCGGATGCTATCTGACCTTCAGATATATCAAGATGCTTTTGAGCATAAGTAAGTTTTAATAGTGTGCTATTCATATTATTACCAACGAAATATGAGGTTAATATATTCAAGTAAAACACACTCCACACTACATAGAATAGTGTACCGATATGAAATAAATAAGTATTTGATCTAATTCAATTAAAATTGTATGTTTACAGTACATAAAAGCATAGTAATCCCAAGAGAAACAAAGCAACTCCACCTGGCACTATTGCTCTATAATATGAATTATAAGATCATAAATTCTTTTTAAATCTGTATTTTTTAATGTTCTGTACAAAATACCTATATTATATGTATTATTTATTTACTAATAACAAATTACCAAAATTTCAAACAATCAATAAATTATATTTCACCCGCCGGTGCACTCCAAAAAAAAAACAATTTATTAAGAACTAATTTATTACAAAATCTTAATCTTAAAACTAAGTACGATACTGAAGCGACGCCGTTGGCCTCCTTCGTCAGCAGAAATTGTATATTGTTAGGTTAGGTTAGTAAAATAGAGTAAAATAGTAATATGAAATATTTGGCAATAACCAAGATTCTTGATGACATTTAGTGAAGCCCACTTTCTGAGCCGGTGGTAACTTGTAAAGAACATATAAAAGTCTGCTTTATCAGTTACTATAGTATGTTTATTTATTTCTTCTGTAGATTCCTACAAGCAACAGAACGTCTGTATTCGGCAGAGGGTCAACGATTAATGAGGGAACTACCAGTCCCTGAATACCTTGCACATGTAGAGAAGAGGCTTCGGGAAGAGCATGAGCACCTATTGCACTACCTCGACCCTTGTACCAAGTAAGTTCTATTAAATATTTAGCCCCTTCAATAAAAAATCAATTTATCTACATAGTTTTAAGAAATCATCTCTTTCTGTCAAATTACATTTAAGCTTTGTTAAAAAGAGACAAAAGCTATTGGAACTACATAAAAAGTTATAATATTAAATTGTGTATATTCTGTGCCATGTTGATGATATCATTTTGCGCTATTCTTCCTAAATATGTATACAATATCTGTGATTCATTTTGTAATAATATGGACTACCACTACTAATGAAACAGTACTAATACTACTATGTTTCTTTGTTCCATTCAAATTGATATTTGTTAGGCATGTTAAATAATTATTTATTTCCTTTATATAATTGACCTATTCTTTTATTGATAATTGTATTTTAATTTATCATAATTGACAGTGAAAATAAAATGGCAGAGTGACAGCACAGTTGTTCTTTATTTGTTGCGTCTTCCAAAAAGTAGGTTTCAATATGGCTGGCTTTGGCTTATATAGACTCATCCCCTCCAAGTGGCTGTCATTTGCGGTTGGCAGGCATGGCGGTTGGTTGGAGGGTTGGTCAACATGGCATGGCTGGGCTTTAGCTTGGCTTTGGCAGGATGTGACTGGCGACGCCACGTCCGTTACATTTACAAAAAGTCAATCTGACCAGTAATATTCTAAGCCCTCAGGGAATTTATTCTAAAATTTTCACCGTCTCCAAGGTATCTTGGCGCTCAGCTGTCACAATCTCCTCTTGCCTCTTCGGTTAGACGCTGAAATAACTTAAAAAAGTCAAGAAGATAACAACCAATACAAATCGAACACAGAATCTATCTCGTACTTTTGACCTTATGCATCTACCTCTTATGCCTGCTCCTATTTTAAGAATATAATTTTACTAACATACTAGCTGACCCGGCAAATGTTGTTTTGCCATGTATATTATTAAGATATAATATAATATTTATATTATTTTTAGTTCAATTTAAATTAAATTTCTGTTATAATAAAAAATAGGGGTTGATTGTAGAGGAGTCATAATAAAATAAAAACAAAAAAATTGTCTAAAAAATAAAAACAAAATTTTTGGAGTGGACAACCTTTATCACTTAGGGGTTTCAAAGATAGATTGTAGGCGATTCTTAGACTTACTGAATGTGCATAAAACATTCCATAAGAATCGGTCGAGCCGTTTCTGTGGAGTATGGGAACATTCTGACACGAGAATTTTATATATTAGATAAGTGTTGCTTAAAATGTAATTTTTCCATTATTTTTATATAAAGAGTAGGCACTGTCCAAAAATGAAAACATGTAATACCTTCTTATTATAATTTTATTAAGTGTAATTGAAACATACTATGAATTTAATACTATAATGTATGTATTTGAATTAACAGCAAACTCTGAACCATATATTTTATAAATGAATTTGGGTGCAACCTTATTAACCCATATATATATATATATTTTTTTAAATTTATGATTGTTTAATCGTGTGATACGTTGGCGCTGTCTACAGCCATACTATTCTTATCCAAAGGTTTTCTATCTTCTTTGTAAAAATAAATAACAAGAAATACTTAATGTCTAATGAAAACTTTTTTTTCCAGATGGCAATTAATTCATTCAGTAGAAAGGCAGTTTCTTAGTGAACACCTAACCGGTATCCTTAGCAAGGGCTTGGAGTCTCTGATGGATGGACCCCGGTTACACGACCTAACCACACTTTATAACCTCTTCAGTAGAGTGAAAGACGGACTGACTGAACTGTGTAATCACTTCAATGCTTACATAAAGGTAGGCAAAGTCTTAAAGAAAGTGTTATTGCTTATAATAAATAACAATTACTGGATTCAATTGCGTTTATTTTTTGTTATTAAAAATATAGTACTGCTCTATTTGAGTTATATATGATATACCGTATCAACATATACTTGATATATAGTCTTCCAGAGAATTTTAAAATTAAAATCCACCATACTATATTTTATTAATTAATTAATAAGAATTGATTTTGCTTTATGAATTTATTTTTCAGTTTCAAAAGCTTTTAATGATTTAAACATATAACATATAGTCATAAACATGGCTGTATGTTTACATATATTTGACAAAGGCTTGTTAATTTTTATTAAATAAATGTATATTTCTTCAGAAAAAAGGACGTACGATTGTAATAGAACCAGAGCGCGACAAGACAATGGTTGGCGAACTCCTGGAATTCAAAGAGCAGCTTGACAACATTGTGACTGGCTGCTTCCAGAGGAACGATCGCTTCCTCTACTCCATGAGGGAGGCATTCGAATTCTTTATCAACCAACGGCAGAATAAGCCTGCTGAACTTATTGGTGAGAGTCGAGAGAGCCCTTTGAAAATTTAAAAATCTTAACTTTAAAAAATATGTATTATTTGTCTACCATAACTAAATATTTGCTTTATTAAGGCCACGTGGTGTAGATAAACATTTTCTAAGAGGGAAACGCACTTGCATACCATGCCACCAAAAGTCACTCATAGCAGAATCTGCTATTCTGAGACTGGATGAGCCGCAAGTCTGCGTCCACTAATATATTAAATTTAATTAGAAAAAAATCGATTTTAGAAAAATAATTATAGTGACTCTAACAAAGAACTTGACAATTAAAACTAGAAAGTGAATTTAAAAAGCTGAATTTATTATAACTAAATGACAATTGACCTTCCATTGGTTATTTTTTATATATAATTTTGCCTTTCTGAAGGTGATTTAGCAAGTGTGACTTCTATACAGAAGTAACAACTTCCAACGTATTGACAAACGGGAGTCAAAGTTCGTGCTAAGTCACAACTCTGAATTTCTTGGGTGTCACGGAATGACAGTGACAATTTGACAAGAAATCCTCACGTACATACATTTACACCATCACGCAACACAACGGCCGGCAACGCACCCACTAAAAATGGGTGTCTATGGGCTGTGATGACTGCCCCTTTTGGGTGTCCCACAAGCTCGTTTGCCCCCCTATTATATTAAAAAAAAATAGCCGTATTAGGTATTACTTAGAAAAATTTATAATATTTTTTATTCATTTTTGATGATTGAAGTCATAAAATCTGATAATAACCAAGAGGCTGGACCGAGAGGGATAGCATAGATTATATGATGATGTAATGTCTATATCATTAGTATAATTGTTTTTCGTTATATATATCATTTATGTTAGTATGATAAATGTATAAGTAAGAATAATAAATGTACGTCTTTATAATATTAAAGCGCGGAATTATTTTATTTCGTTAGATTAAATAAAAATTATTAAATTTATTTTCAGCCAAATTCGTCGACCTAAAACTCCGCGCGGGTAACAAAGAAGCTACAGAGGAAGAACTGGAACGCTTACTCGACAAAATAATGGTTTTGTTCCGTTTTATTCACGGAAAGGATGTTTTTGAGGCATTTTACAAGAAAGATCTGGCCAAAAGACTCCTCGTTGGGAAATCTGCTTCCGTGGATGCTGAGAAATCCATGCTAAGTAAGCTCAAGCAAGAGTGCGGAGGCGGGTTCACTTGTAAACTAGAAGGAATGTTCAAGGATATGGAATTATCTAAAGATATCAATGTTACGTATAAACAGGTATATATTGCCATATTTTTAATTAATATTAAATAGGAAAAAGCTTTACCAATATCAGGTCTATATAATTTACTATTAAGAACGTTTAAATTTTATTATTTTTTAAAGATTTCACATTTTTGTTATACTTAGTATGACATGCTATTTTATGTTCTTTTTTGTTAATTATTTGTGCACTTCTTGTTCTTTGCCTTTTGTAGGTGTTTTTTTTGTATTGTCCCATACTAGAGTTGCCTGGAATAAATCGTTTGTTAGCGATAAGGCCGCCTGTTGCCTAATAACTTCTGTAGCCTGCTGTATTCTATTATTTCTTAGCGATTAATAACAAACGTGCACTCACTAATGCATTAATCTATATAAGATCTATTTTTTTGACATATAATTTCATGGTACTTGAGCAGTCAACAGTTTTAGCCATCTTTTAAGGTGCGCTTACACGAGGGCAATAATTGCTCGGCAACACGAATGGACCGATCTGGAGCAATTAATGGAGCAATTTCAATAAATTATTTCGGCTATATTGCTTCTAATTGCTCCACATATTTCATATCGCTCAATGTCGCAGATACGAATTGACGAATATCCAATGGACTTGGAAATTCCTAGCAATTTTTGTATATATCTCATTCGCACTTGTTTGTTTTGCGGCTTGCCGTCTTGCTTGCGGGGAGAGCGAGAGGTCGGGTGGAAGTAGGATAGCGCGCGGCAAGAGTCCAGCGCGTAGTCAGCCTCTGTTTGTTGTGTTATAAATAAATTAAAAATAAAAACAAAAAATACTAAAAGTCTAGAGGGCTAAAAGACTAGAGGACTAAAAGGCTGGAGGACTAAAAGACTAGAGTACTAAAATACTAGAGGACTAAAAGACTAGAGGACTAAAAGACTAGAGGACTAAAAGACTACAGTACTAAAAGACTAGAGGACTAAAAGACTACAGTACTAAAAGACTAGAGGACTAAAAGACTACAGTACTAAAAGACTAGAGGACTAAAAGACTAGAGTACTAAAAGACTTTAGTACAATATACTAGAGGACTAAAAGACTAGAGTACTAAAAGACTAGAGTACTAAAAGACTAGAGTACTAAAAGACTTTAGTACAATATACTAGAGGACTAAAAGACTAGAGTACTAAAATACTACAGTACTAAAAGACTAGAGTACTAAAATACTAGAGGAATAAAAGGCTAGAGGACTAAAAGACTAGAGTACTAAAATACTAGAGGACTAAAAGACTAGAGGACTAAAAGACTACATAACTAAAATACTAAAAGACTAGAGGAATAAAAGACTAAAACAAGAGGACTAAAAGACTAGAGGACTTAAAGACTAGAGGACTAAAAGACTACATAACTAAAAGACTAAAAGACTAGAGGACTAAAAGACTACATAACTAAAATACTAAAAGACTAGAGGAATAAAAGACTAAAACAAGAGGACTAAAAGACTAGAGGACTAAAAGACTAGAGTACTAAAAGACTTTAGTTCTAAAATACTAGAGGAATAAAAGGCTAGAGGACTAAAAGACTAGAGTACTAAAATACTAGAGGACTAAAAGACTACATAACTAAAAGACTTTAGAACAATTACTAGAGGACTAAAAGACTAGAGTACTAAAAGACTAGAGTACTAAAAGACTAGAGTACTAAAAGACTTTAGTACTTAAAGACTAGAGTACTAAAAGACTTTAGTACTAAAATACTAGAGGAATAAAAGGCTAGAGGACTAAAAGACTAGAGTACTAAAATACTAGAGAACTAAAAGACTACATAACTAAAAGACTAAAAGACTAGAGGACTAAAAGACTACAGTACTAAAAGACTAGAGGACTAAAAGACTAGAGGACTAAAATACTACAGTACTAAAATACTAAAAGTCTAGAGGACTAAAAGACTAGAGTACTAAAATACAAGAGGACTAAAAGGCTTAAGTACTCAAAGACTAGAGGACTAAAAGACTACATAACTAAAATACTAAAAGACTAGAGGAATAAAAGACTAAAACAAGAGGACTAAAAGACTACGGTACTAAAATACTAAAAGACTAGAGGACTTAAAGACTAGAGGACTAAAAGACTACAGTACTAAAATACTAAAAGTCTAGAGGGCTAAAAGACTAGAGGACTAAAAGGCTGGAGGACTAAAAGACTAGAGTACTAAAATACTAGAGGACTAAAAGACTAGAGGACTAAAAGACTAGAGGACTAAAAGACTACAGTACTAAAAGACTAGAGGACTAAAAGACTACAGTACTAAAAGACTAGAGTACTAAAAGACTTTAGTACAATATACTAGAGTACTAAAAGATTAGAGTACTAAAAGACTTTAGTACTAAAATACTAGAGGAATAAAAGGCTAGAGGACTAAAAGACTAGAGTACTAAAATACTAGAGGACTAAAAGACTACATAACTAAAAGACTAAAAGACTAGAGGACTAAAAGACTAGATATTAATAAAATATATTATTTAATTATTTATAAATTACAACTTAACTTAACTTTTATTATTATACGGTAAAAAAAAAAAGGAACACCGTTGTGTGAAAAATTAAATTATTTAATTATTTATAAATTACAACATCATTCTGTTTTGGTTCACACAACGGTGTTCCTTTTTTTTTTTACCGTCTAGTCAAACATAGCCAACAGCTTGATTATTTTATGTCGTATTTTTTAATTGATTTATTTGAATTAAAAATTCACTTAATTGTGAATTTAAATAAATAAAAAGGTTGATTAATACAATTATTTTTAAATTAAATATCCTGACTTTTAAATTAAATATCCTGACCTTAAATTAAAATAACTTATTTATATATTCTCGAAGAACTTCTGCAATAGCTCTGCATACAGTAGGTACAAATAGTGCAATACAACTATCAGAAATTCTAAACAGATTCATTAAACTTTTGTATGAATCTCCAGTTGCCAGAAATCGAAGGGTTAAAGCAAGTTTTGTTGATGCAGAAATTGGTTCTCTCATGTTGGTCGTCTGTTTCTTAATTAATGGGCTAACTTTATTCAAAAGTAATTCAAAGTCTGTTCGTGACATTCTAGTAAAGTTTTTGAATAATATATCATCTAATTCTGTACATAATGAAAATTTTGTCCTCTTTGCCAAAAACGATCGCACCCAGATACGCCTATTCCTTTTCTTTCTTTTTTGTTTTTGATTAATAATAAAAAAAGCACTACAAGCCGCCGCAGCAAGAACGATGTCGTCCATAGCGAGCGAATACTGAATTGCTTGTGTAGGACAGTATTGCCTAGTTGATGAAGGTGCGCCATATCGCTCAATATTGTATTGCGCAGTATTGATGCTTGTTGCCGTTGCCGTAAATTGCTTGATGTAGTCGTGACGTCATGGTTGACGAGTATTGACTGGAATTGAGCAATTTTAGTTGCCCGTGTAAGCGTACCTTTAGGCTCTTTTCGAAAATCTTTTTTTTTTTTAAATTGATCAATAAGGGTTTTTTTTTATAGAACATGGGGCAAACGGGTAGGAGGCTCACCTGATGTTAAGTGATACCGCCCATGGACACTCTCAATACCAGAGAGCTCGCGAGTGCGTTGCCGGCCTTTTTGTTAAGAAGTAGTAAAATTTTGAAATGTTTCACGAAGTGATGATGCCTTTGTAAAATTTCAGCACTTAGCAGCAAGCCAAGAATCGAGCAGTCTAGATCTATCAGTGTATATCCTAACCATGGGTTTCTGGCCGACGTATCCGCCGGTGGAAATCCGTCTTCCGGCGGAACTGACCCGGCATCAGGACCACTTCGGCAAGTTCTATCTGGCGAAGCATTCTGGACGAAAGTTGCAATGGCAACCCACGCTCGGACATTGTGTGCTGCGGGCGCATTTTGCTCAGGTATTTTTATCTATTGCCCAATTGCCCCAACATTATAACCATAAAAATACAATTAAATGTTGTATTATGAGGGCTCATTGGTCTAGTGGTTAGTACCCCTGTCTGCGAATCCATGGGTCGCGGGTTCGATCCCCGGCTGAGACAAACATCGATGTGATGAGCATTTGGTGTTGTGCTTAGGTCTTGTTTGTTTAAATATGTATTTATATGTCTATCTATCTATAATATGTATGTATATCCGTTGCCTAGTACCCATAACACAAGCTTCACCAGCTCAGCATGGGACTAGGTCAATTGGTGTGAATAGTCCAATCATATATATACATTAAAATATCACCATTCTTAGTATATGAGAAATACTCCTCGCTATGTTTTTTTTTGTTTAAATAAATAATTTAAAAAAAAGTGTGTGTGTGTCAGCTACGACGCACGATTGGAGTTTACTCCTTACGAACGATAAAATGGCGATAATGTTCTGTGGCTGTCGACCATATTTTCATACTAAAGGTGGTAAGAATATATGTTTTTATAATATAAATGTTTCTAGTAGTAATAAAACGTACCTACATCATCTATGCCCAAATAGGATTTTCTTTCTGTGACCAAACTTACCTTTATAGTAAGAGAAGAATAAGAATGAACAATCTTTTTAGATTTAATTTCACTGACCATGACTATTGACAAAACTCTATGGCACGCTAGACAATCTACTTTTATTTTTTACACCTGTCAACACTGACAATGTTGTAACGTGGCTGTCAAAACGTGAATTCAAAATAAAAAAGTCTGTGTAATGTATTCCATCTCATTCTTTTACACGTTCAATCCTACAGATATATATGTTTGTCTCTTTCTACATAACGCCTCAACTTTTCGTGTTACACTTGATTTTACTCCTCATAAAATTACCGTACCGGGCCTTATAACCCAAATCGTTTCTTAAGGAGTAAACTCCAAAAATATTTCTGCAACTGAATAACCAAGCTTATATCCACTAAAACATGTGGTGTTAAAAAAAATCAACATACATACGCAATAAATATCTTTATAACGTTGATTAAATCTGTGGCCATTAAAGGTCAGAATATGATAATAGTAGTTTAGGGAGCGTTCAAGTATTACGTAACGTATTTTTTTCCTTTTGTAAAGCGTTACGATGCGGGGCGGGGATTAAAATACGCGTTATTGTTCATATTTTTTTCGACTTACACCACATAATAGTAACTAAAGAATCTCAAGGTGGTCACGAAACGTTTTACTATACTTGGGTACTGAAAAACGTTACGGCGAGTTACATGGGGTGGGGGGGTTTACAATAATATCCAAAAATTGCGTTACGTAATACTTAAACGCTCCCTTATGTAACTGTCATATAATAGAGGGTATTAAAACATAAGTGGTGTTTCAAAATAACATTACACAAGAGTGTTTTAATACCTAATTGTATGCAGTTGCATACGCTACTTTATTTAATCTCATGGCTATGGGTAGCTACATTAAATAAAATGCAATATAAAATAAACAAATGTCTGTTATTGGTCTATTGGCTCGAAACCAGCGCGCTCACCACAGATTATGTTTACTATATTATATATTATACTAATTTTCTTAAAGAAGTATGTAAATAAAATATGCCAATAACAGTCTGTATTTCATTTCATAATTAGAATATTACCGAATGAGATTAGATAAATGTAATTTCATAACTACAGGACAAGCAATGAAATAAGTAAGAAATCTTGAAGGCGGCACTATTGAAATATGAAACACCCGATATATGAATGAATGTACTTATTATTGTCTGATCCATGACCACAGAATTTGTTCCGTGTAATTTACATAAAAACGGTTACAACGTTAATAAAAACTAAGTTTATTTATTAACTTAGTATTTTTATTAGGCTGATTTTATTAAGTAACTAAAAAATAATTAATTTATTAATGATTTTTTAATACAACAACAGATATTTAAAACTTATTTATGTTAAAATTCCATATCTATGAATATTATTAGTTAGATAACTATAAAAAAACAAATTAAACTAACAAATCAATTTCATCATTCAATCTCTAACAAAATATATTTTTTTATATTAATTTTTTTTTTCAGGGTAAAAAAGAGCTGCAGGTGTCATTGTTCCAAGCATTAGTTTTACTATTATTCAATGACGGTGACAATCTCTCATTTGAGGATTTAAAGGCGAATACCAACATTGAGGTAATTTTCATAATAATTTGTTTAATACTGTTTATTTAAATAAAATTTACACTTAACCAATCCTTATACAGAGATAATACATACATATGAATAGGTTGTCTAAATATTTTATTTCTCACTAGCTTATCCGGCAAACGTCGTTTTGCCATGTATATTATTTCTAGGAAACATTTTTGTAGTTCAATAAAAATAACTATCTACTTTAATAAAAAATTGGGGTTGATCGTAGAGGGGTGAAAATTAAGGGTTGTATGTATTGATATACAAAAAACCCAAGATGCACAGTCTCGAATAAAAGTAACGCTCGAAAGTGTCCCGAAACACTATTTCTGTCCCTTTCTATAACAGTAAGTCTATAACAGTATATGTTACAAGCATATATTATTGCAAAATCAACCTTACGCGAATTGCTTAAAGTTGTTATTACAACGCAGTGTACGTACTTAAAGCAATAAAATTTTACGACCGACCGTGGTCGGTAGGACAAGGTATTGAGTGGAGTCGAACATGACTTTTTTATTTACAACTATTTAACATAATTTTATCCGACTTTTCGGGTGCTTTACAGCGTGCGTGGTCACGGTGACTGAAGACAAAAGGTGTTGGATGTTAAATAGTTGGAAATTTATAATAATACATAACTTTAATCCGGTTAAAAAGTTTTTTCTTTAAATTTAAAAAAAATGTTAAATTGGCTACCTCCTGACCTACACTTTATATAGCGTAAAAATATTTGTCAAAAACTACACACAAAAAGTTCAAAAGTACATAAATTTATTTATAAAAAAACAGAAATAAATAACATCGACTCCACTTATTAGACGCGAGACTATTTGAAATGAGCGCACAATTTAGAATGTTGCGCTCATTTTTTGAGGACGTTTTTTAGACGTTGATTGTGCATCTTGGGTTTTTTGTATATCAATGGTTGTATGTATTTTTTAATGGCACATTATTAAAATTTCGTCCAAAAAATAAAAATAAAATGTTAGGGGTGGACAACCCTTATCACGTAGGGGTATGAAAAATAGATAGTAGCTGATTCTCAGACCTACTGAATATGCATATAAAATTTGATAAAAATCGATCAAGCCGTTTCGGAGGAGTATGGTAACTAACATTGTGACACGAGAATTTTATATATAAGATAATATTTTTTAATGAGCAATAAAACTAGGCCGGTTGACTTCACCGGTGGACTATTTAAGTGCAAATAGGTAAACCCAAAAATTGTTGACATGAGATGTTAGTCAGGCTGATCACCTACTTGGGGAGCATTCAAGTATTACGTCACGCAACATTCGGAGATAGTTGACCCCCCCAATGTATCGCGCCGTAAAAAAAATATGTACCGTAGTACAGTACTGTACCCAGGTATAGTAAAACGTTTCGTGGCGACCTAGTGACTCTTTATACCAGGGATGTTATGGAGCTCCGTAACCGTAACCGAAACAATCGGATATCCGAAATAAATATATATCCGTAACCGTAACCGTATCCGTTTCAGAACTTTCGGATAGTTTCGTATAAGAGCGGAGTCTAAAATCTAAATAAAACGACATGTTTCGACAGGTTTTTGTTAATGGTTTCATTACTCACAAAAATAATTAAAAAGAAAACATTTAATATGTTATACATAGGTTAAAAGTTAATATGTGCAATGTATAAAGCTAAATGTTTTTTTACAGCTCTTAAATTTATTGCATTTTTATTTATAGATAAAACTGAGGAGGATAAAACCTATATATAAAACTAAATTATTACATACTATTTGTGTTTGTATTTTACTTCAATCTAATAACCGTAACCGAAACTATCCGAAACTAACGGATAATCCGAAATAATTACATATCCGTAACCGTATCCGAAACCGATATAATTTTATTCCTATATCCATATCCGTATCCAGATCCGAAATATCATATCCATAACATCTCTACTTTATACCTAAAAGTTACCATTATGTGGTGCAAAGTACTGGAAAGTCGAAAATAATATTAACAATAACGCGTAATTGAATCCCCACCCCGCATCTTAACGTTTTACAAGAGGACCAAAAAAATTCATTACGTAATACTTGAACGCTCCCTTGTCTATGAAATATAAATGATCAAAGATACGGATGCAATCTGAAGCCCATGTATATATGTAGCGCAATTGGATTATTATTATTACCAATCTAAATAATAATTCCTTAAATAATAACTGTTGAGATTTTTCTTTAATGTTGTAATATTTGTGAAATTTTTAGTTATTTAAATTAATAAACGAAATTGTTGCGTTTTTTTTAACTCTTCGTGTTTGTTGTGTGCTGCATTAAATCTTGTGTTTTATTTAAGTGAAACTTCTTTATCGACGTATGGGAGAAATTTTGTAGCAAATCGTCACGTTTTTCGGTTACGCGCCATCTTTTTGTTGTCCCTACCACGGTTGACCCAAAGAAATTCGAAGCCATTAATAACAAAAATATATAGTAACGATAACAATAATAGTAATAATATATTACAATTAATGAAATTCTGTAATAATCTTAGTAGTAATAAGGTAAAATGAAATAATTGTATTTGTATTCATGTCTATGATAATAAAAGCGTTTTGTTAAACTTTATCTAATTTAACGTTATTTAACCAATTTCTGTAAAGTTGCATGTAGTAGATCATTTTTCGAAAAATAAGGTCATAAAGAAGTTTCACAATGTGTGCGTGTGTACATCTAGTACACGCACACATATTTTTTTGTTGTATGAATGTATGAGTGTCCGAGCGTTGGCAAGTTTTTATAAATAAATAAATACATTCTATTTCAGGAAGGGGAACTCCGTCGTACGTTGCAGTCTCTGGCGTGTGGCAAAGCGCGAGTGGTTTGCAAATCGCCTCGCGGAAGGGAAGTGGCCGACACCGACACCTTCACCTTTAACGGGGACTTCGTCAATAAGCTGTTCCGCATCAAGATTAACCAGATACAGATGAAGGAGACGGTAATTATTCAACCAAGTCTCTGACTACCTCCAACTGAGACGAAATGCTTTTGGAAATTAGAGTGGAGGAAAGTTTGAGCGCGTAATTTTAGGATCAACAGATTCCCATCCACGTCACCGATTATTTAATTAAATCAAAACACACACACATACAACGATTAAACAAATCTACTGTGCCAATAAGTTACGCGTTCAAACATGTTGACTAAATGCATGTTGTAAAATAAATGAATTACCAAATACACTCAAGCATAAAATTAAGCTTCAATCCCACACGAAGTCGGTACAACACTAATCATATACATCGACCTAAAATCGGAACCGAATACGGTCGCAAAACTTATTACGGAGCTAATGTCAACGCACTTTTTTTTTATGGCTCTGGCACGATTTGTGCATTAGCCCATTAAAATTGCCCTCGAACCGGGAATCGAACCCGGTACCCCTCACCTAGCTGCCACTTAATAAGACCGCTAGTCTATCAACGCATTTTAAACTGAGTTGTCGGGCAATAAATGTCATTGACAGTTGGATTGTGTACGCAATGCAACCCGTTATCGATACTTAACTAGCTTAGCCTGCGCACAGTACGAAGTCTTAGTTCCTAATGCGTATATAGTCTTCAGAGATAAATTGCGATATTTGTTTTAAAATAAGTGTTGTTTGATGATTTGCTATTTTAAAGGAGTACCGAGAGTTTTTTACGCCGGCTTTTTCTCTCGGCCTACACCCTCTGTCTTCTTTGCCGATGAGTAGGGATGCCTACAGATTCAAATTTAATGACGTGGAATAAGTGATACCTGTATCTTATGTTCCATAATAAACATAATTTATTTTATTTTTTATTTTAAAGGAAATAGCAATAGTTTACTTTTATGTTTTAATATATTTTTCTACTCATAAGTGACATGTATGATTTTATCGAGTATACAGAGGAAACCAAAATGTCTTTAAGACCGTTCAAGTATAACGTAAGCTGATTTACAGCAATTTATCCTTACTAATTTGGCCTTTCGTCTAAACCCAACATTTGTATAATTCCAGTCCGAAGAACAAAAAGCGACGGAGGAGAGAGTATTCCACGATCGACAGTACCAGATCGACGCGGCCATTGTTCGTGTCATGAAAATGAGGAAAGCGCTTTCTCATAATCTCCTCATTTCGGAACTGTATAATCAGCTCAAATTTCCCGTAAAGGTAAGTCGAAAATTTCATTTCAGTCTTTGAGACAGACTTCAAAACATATTATATATGTCGCAGTAAAGTAGTTAAATCAGAGAGTTAATTTAAACTCTAGACAGTTAAATCGATATTCAATCAACTCGCTAAAGTTCCGTCAGACCAGTGACTGAACAATACGTTTAACGAGTTTCCTAAACGTTCCTAGACAACAAGACGCATTGCAACTTTGGTAAGGGTGACCAAGATATTTGATTGGAAAAAACATATATTTTCCTATATATGTTGTCGTTTAATATTTCATTATTTAGGAAAATGAATATATTTTTTTTGTTTTATGTTTCTTTAATAAAAAAATAAAACCTGCTCTGCTGCAGATATTTGGTACATGTTTTGTTTAGTTCGTTTTACCTTTATTAATGGCATGTTAAGTATTATTGCTCAACCTATTTTGTAAGTGGATATGTTTTTGGACAATTTTTTTAGTTAAATATAATAATAATATTTAAAAAAAAGCAGACACATAAAAGATTTGATTGTTTTAATTGGGAGGATTTAAAGAAATGGCCACCGAACCAGTGTTTTAAGTAAGAAAAATATGAAAACAGATTTTTTTTTCTAGCCGGCTGATCTCAAGAAACGTATTGAATCGCTCATCGACAGAGATTATATGGAGAGAGACAAAGACAACCCCAACCAATACAACTACGTTGCCTAACTTCGCCTACCCTTTATACGACCAGATAATCATTACATCAATTTTTTTCCTACCCTCATTACGTCCCCGAACAATTTTTGACAAATTCGCGGGAAATTACAAAAATCAAAATTTTAATAACCAATTCTAACGTGTAAGCGGAAAGTGGTTTTACTCTAATTTTGTTGGAATTTTTTACATAATCGTGGTTGTTATTCAACTTCCTGATAAAAATGCTTGAATAAATATTTGATAGAAATTTTAACTGAAGTATGTTTGACTTTTAAAAATGCTTATTCATTCACTCATTGTCATCTCTATTTATTAAAATAGTAAACGGGGGGGTGGAAAAGTATAAAAGTATGTATTTATAATTTTGTGTTTTATTTATGACCTTGTAACATACATTTTATATGCGCGGATTTTGTATATATTAACAAATGTATCAAAATTGTGTATACAGATCATCGGACGTAAGCAAAATACAAAACTTCAACCGTATCATCTCTACTTCCGTCGTTAAGGGCTTTTTTTGGCAGTTCTTGCCGCGCACCACCACTATGTGCAAACAGCTGCCAACTCATGTATTTCCGAAGCAATTCTACTTATAGACCACAAGCCCATGAACAAAAAATACCTGTGAAATGACCCAACGTGAATTACGCTTAGAAGGCTGTTACTATATCTGAAAATAACTCTGAGCACTATGCCGTCATTTCTGAGCGGTACATGTGAGTACGTGAGTGAATGGAATTTCTCAGGTACCAATGAGGAATTTCAACTAATTATTAATGTACGGCTTTGTTATAAGTGTATAGATGATTAAAAATAAATGTCGAAAAACCTAGTGCCGTACTAAAGTGATGGTACCGGAAGTCGGTGCAAATTTTTAATTCGATGATAGTTGCAGAAGCAATATAGGTCATTTATTACTGTACGGCATTGGTGTAATTCCGTTTGGACACGTATACAGATACTTTACCCGTAAACGCCGTACTTATTTCCAGCGGAGCGGTCGAAAGCCGGTCGAAAGGGTCGCAACATATCTCTGATTAGTATATAGGTGATGATGATATAGAACAACATAAAATTAAATGATCTTGAGAGTTCTTCACAAATAGATAACATTTTCTAGCATGCCGTACATTTTTTGTGGAACACATAGGTGTATGGGGTAAATTACTTCCCTCCGAAAAGAGTCATTTTCCGGTGACTTTTATCTGTACGGCAATAACACAGGTTATTAATACTTTAGACAATCTTCAATAAAAGATAAATGCCGTACACTTTCGATAGTCCGCTAGTCTGTGAAATGGCAGATTATACCACCGCCTACCAATACAGGCGTCCCAAAGTTATGGGACATGAAGGGAAAGTACCTTAAATATCGTAGGTAGGGTATTTTACTAAACGAAGACTATGTTATTTTTAAAAGTTAGTAATTCTGCATTCAAAGATTTTGTAAAAATTACTTGCCTCGGCTGGAAATCGAACCGGCTTAAAGGTAAAAAAAACACCCCTACTTTTATGATGCCAATCGAAAGAATGGCCAAAACGACGCCTTGTATTATATTTTTGTTAAAAATATTTTTCCTTTACCTCTCTCTGCTGGTACGATAAGGCTGTAAATATACTTTACAGCCTTATGGTAGTATACTCAGATACGTAGTTATTAATGACCTTAAGGGACACCTCAAACGTCGTCGAAGTTTTTATCAACTGTAAAGAATAATCTGGAGTAAAATGTACGGCATCTGGTTTTTTTGTTTATTTATATTTGTTACATATAAAATAACAATAATCTTTAAAAATATTACTCTAGGAATATTTGAAAAATCATCTAAATTTCGGAAATTTCATATATTTTTATCATAATATTTTTATTTTTTACCATTTATAATGAACGGCTATAAAGTACAACGGTAATATTTAGTAACATTATGTAAAAAAAACAAGTTGCCGTACATTATTCTCTGATCTTACAGCAGTAAGAACTCGGTAAATCCTGAATTTTCGATAAATATTTATTTACACAAATATTAACTATAACTTTTGGACGGCATAATTATAAAACATTATTGTCCGTGTTAAATAATATTTTGAACATGTTTCCGTACATTTTACAATGACCTTAGGGTATATGGGTGTAGGGGTAGGGTTGCGACCCTTGGCTTTCGACCGCTCCGCTGGAAATATGTACGGCGTTTACGGGTAAAGTATCTGTATGTGTCCAAAAGGAATTACACAAATGCCGTACAGTAATAAATTACCTATATTGCTTCTGCAACTATCGTCGAATTAAAAATTTGCACCCACTTCCGGTACCATCACTTTAGTACGGCACTAAGTTTTTCGACATTTATTTTTAATCATCTATACACTTATAACAAAGCCGTACATTAATAATTAGTCGAAATTCCTCATTTGTACCTGAGAAATTCCATTCACTCACGTACTCACATGTACCGCTCAGAAATGACGGCATAGTGCTCAGAGTTATTTTCAGATATAGTAACAGCCTTCTAAGCGTAATTCACGTTGGGTCATTTCACAGGTATTTTTTGTTCATGGGCTTGTGGTCTATTAGGGTCCTTCAAGAAAAGTACTTCTTAAAAGGCCGGCAACGCCCACGCGAGCCCTCTGGCATTGTTTTCATAGTCGGCGGTACCACTTAATATCAAATGAGCCTCCTGCCGTTTGCCCGTTCTATAAAAATAATAATAATAGATGTATTTGTAAGATACAGAAGAGATTTTTTTTTTAAATATACATTTCTATCACTGATCGCAATAGAGCGATGTTTTAATTTGCTAAACCTTGCATATCTATTTATTGATAAGGTACATAAGTCCGCACTGGACGGGCAAACGAGCTGGACCATCTAACTGGAACCACCTTTCTCTTGAAATATGAATGGATACAACTAAAATTTCAGATAAATTATTATTTTGTTACGTTCTGGTAATTTTCTCTATTGTACGTTCCCGGCCAAAATTTAAAAATATAAAGCGTTCGGTATCGATTAGAGATACACAAAATAATAGTTTAATGTTGAAAGTTTTCGTAAATATTTAGTTTACTATAGCGAGTTTGAAAAGATTGCTCGAATAAAGAAACATGTCCTAAACTTAAAATAATGAAAAGCTCTTGGGTTTTCTCAACACTAGTATAGGCACTTTAAGTGATTTAATTATATTTACTCACGTTTCATTAATTTTAAATTATCTAAAGTTATGTTAAATACAGGAAAGTTTGACATTATTTCATTTATAAGGCTTAAGCATACTAATATTGGGGGAAAATAAATAATTAGACATGTGTAACTATTTTTATTTCCCAAAAATTGTTTTAACAAATATTCGCCGATTTCATAACTACATACTAAGCAATAATTTATTCGATTTCTATTTACATTGGAAGACTACAGGTTTATAAATTATATTAAAATGAGGTTTCATTCGTCATTACATTGAGCAATTTAAAAATCTACTGCATCGGATTTAAAAATATATTTTAATTTACATTTATACCATGACCGTGTAATAATTGTATCAGGAGCGACCATCAAACGGACTGTTGTATGTAATGTTTTGTTACAGCGTCTTACCATTGTTTATTTTTGTGACTAGCATCCCCGTATCATACGTTAGCTAGGGAGCTGCCAAGCAAAAGATGTATATGATTTGACTTTTTTAATAGCGATAATTATACGATAAATAATAGTAAGGACCACGTACGCACTCTGCCACCATGGTAGCGTTGCGTTGTCAATTGACAGCCCCTTAAAAATCTATTGCATATATCAAGTATTACCTTAACAGACTTAATGCAATTTATGTGCCCCCCGCCCCCCACTCCTGTCAGCAAAAGTAAGAAAAGGTCTCGAAAGTATTAGAGTACATAAACGTATTAGTTTTTGTTGAAATCGTCGAAAATGCATTTCGTTTTCAAGCATAGACAATATATATGAAAAAGTAAATAATTACCTACTGTTGTAATCACCAAATAAGAAAATCAAAGATTATTGACGGTCATAGAATATTTTTGTCAAACACGGTCTTGGGTATATAATACGACGTTGTAGGAATACCTTTAAATACTTAAATACCGATCGTAGATTCATGCTGTAGCTACTTTATTGCTGTAGAAAATTTTCTCATAAATATAATCCTATTTGTCCATAACTTTAAAAACTGTATCGAGATGGTCCTTATGATAGTCCAGTTCGTCAGTGAGAGCGGTCGCAAGCGCACGTGGCGTCATTTCCGTACCGAGATAATCTCCTAATAATATCTGAAAATATTTTATAGTGTCAACAAATATTCCGTGATACAATGCTTCCTTGTGTTCGAGACACACATTGTCCACTTTTTAGTCTATGGGCTGATAGAATCAAGATTAAGCACTCTGTCAAGTATAAGTTGTCATTATAATGACAATTCTCTTTGGACAGTGGTCAGGTCAGACAGTGGTCTTTGAGGCAACGTTAAGGGCTTGAGACAAAATCACGTGACACAATAAAGTCAAACGAATTTGTTCGTAATTGGTCACATGACCAAGCGTGATATAATGTCATCCCCATACAAATTCTTATAGCGGTAGTGAGTCACGCTTGTCGAAACTGACTTTGTCTCAAGCCCCAGTTGAACTAAAACAACCTTGACTAAAAGTCGTGTGACCTTAAGTATGCGTGAATGGGTGTGTGTGAGTGTGTATAAAATACTCTGTGTGGGTGAGAGTTGTTATAAGCATGCGCTGTGTCTGTTTTGGAACCTCAAAATATGTAGTAAGCCTCTGCAGTATCGAAATCCAAATCGGCTAGCATAATTTCTACCGGTTTTCTGAGATCATATCTAGATAGTTTGACTATCTTAGTATCCAAAGATTGGGAGATTTTATTATAAACGAAGGATCTTCTATATGCAATTATTAAATATAAATTTTAATTTTTGGATACCTTCGGCTCAACAGCCCCTCCATGTCTCAACACAGCGTGTCTCAGTCGATCACCGGCACTGCGATTGAGCGGACGCGCGTCAAAGTTCTGTCGCCACACACTCCAAGCTAGCGCCCGGGATATTAAATACGAGTAGTACTTTGCTCCGTAGCCTATTAAATGGCTGAAGCGGTGTTGCCATGCCTGAAAATATATATATTTTTAGTAAGAATATATAAATATTATACTAGTTGGTAACTTTTTTCTAAAAATAAAAAAATCTTGAACCCGTCTTTTTAAATTAAACTTAAAGTATATATGACACATTTCAAAACATCAATGCGAGATTGGACTTGAGATGTCGATGAAATACGAGCCTTAATCTAGAGATATATTCCCGCATTACTATTACATTATCAAGTAAGGAAACTTTTGTGGCAAACATATTATTGTGTTAAGGTCTGGCCACTGCCCACCACACAATCTTTTAACAGTTGTTTAAATAAGCTTTTTAAGACACTTCTTTTTGCCGCACCTATGTAGAACCAGCTGCCCACTGAAGTATTTCCGAACAAATTCGACTTAGGGTCCTTCAAGATAAGAGCGTATCAGTACTTAAATGTCTGGGAACGTACGTGCTAGTCATCCGATGTGAGTGAGTACTATAAAAAAACCTATAAAAATTTCTAACCGTATTATCAACATATGGCAAGCCATAATACTGTTTCTGGGCGCTTTGCAGTACTTCGGTAGTGGACTGCTGGTGAGACACGTTTGCACCGTGGTATAGCTGGTCTAAGACTGAGTAGAATACCTGGAAAATTAAAAATACTACAACATTGGACTATCTTAAAATTATTTTTCTTTTTTATAATATTTTTTCCAACACAAATCCAACAAAACGTAATAATAATATTAATAAAAAACATTGGACTTTAGTTTTAAACCCGACAAAATTTGGAATTTCTCAACACATCTCCGAATTAAGTTGAAATTTTGTTTCTTTTCTTAAAGTTTAACAAAATTGTTTAGTTCCTTTTCTATTATGTTATAAATTAGATTTTGCGTATCATTCCATCTGTTCAATAGGAATAAATAAATTAAACTAAAACAAAAATAAAATTACAAATGGCCATATTTAAGATTTTACGTAATTAACCGTTAATCCTCAACTAAAGTTACCTATCTTTTTATCACAGCGTAAAAACAATTTGACTGATTTATTTTAATGAATTATTATACACATTACACTCACGCGTGTTACTCGTCGCGTAATGTTCCTGGTTAAAAAAATCTAAATTGTTATTGAAAAACACAATTAGTTATAAAATTAACAGTTAAGTTTGTTATTAAAGAGCTAGGAAACCTGACACAGGTATTTTTTACTTAAAAGCGTTCCCAAATCTTACACATTGAAATGGGGGTATATATATATATATTAGTTAATTTAATAGGCAATAAACACGTGTATATATGTATACTAGCGTAACACTGACCTGTAGTTGCATCTCGCTAGCTCCAAAAAGATATTTTGATGCACAAAGCCGTTGCAACATGTCTTCAGGCATCGGTTCTTGAGTTTGAAAATGACGTGCGAAACGTCGCACCACCTGATTATATTAAATTTTATGTCATAAAAAGTTTGGTGACAATGTCAACTTCCTATTACACTGTTTTTTATATGGTCTTTATGTATGTAATATATAATAGTATGACAACTTCTTAGTGTTGCTATACTCATAGTTAATTTAGCGCCCTCAGAGTAGGTTTTTTTCCATTTTCGGGATATTTTTTTTAAATGGTACTTACACTTAAATATTTGTAACTACCTTCTTTTTTTGTACGTCATATCCTAGTGTTCATCTTTAACAAAACTAAAATTATAGCTTTATAAATGATAATTCTGATAATGCACGTCATAAAATTGCTAAATGGTTGCGTGAATCGCAAGAATGAAGGTAGAAACTAAACACGATTTTAATGTAAGAAACTACCCTCATTTTTAATAAATTGAAATTATACCTGCGGACTTGAAGCGAAGTACTCGTTTAAAACACTGGGCAATTCAGCTAAATCTGTAGCGCACCTGGTGCCAGCTACGTGCTGATGCGGCGCTCTACCGAGCATGGAGTGTAACGCGTGACCCGCTTCGTGGAACAAATTATCCACAGAACCCGCGCTCAATAGCGCAGGCCCGCCTCTATGGCCGCCGCTCAGGGACAGCATTATCACCACTATTGGGTTCTAGAATTTAAAAAAAATATGTGCGTGTACTAGGTGTGTTACGTGTGTAAGAAGTGAAACTTCTTTATGACCTTATTTTTCGAAAAATGATCTACTACATGCAACTTTACAGAAATTGGTTAAATAAAGTTTAACAAAAGGCTTTTATTATCATAGACATGAATACAAATACAATTATGTATTTCATTTTACCTTATTACTACTAAGATTATTACGGAATTTCATTAATTGTAATAGAATTATTACTATCATTATTATCGTTATTATAGGTCTACCAGGATCTGATGGCAAAAAGGGAAAAAAGAAATTTACGCTAGCAATACTGGGGAAATTGGAGTAAAACGTTTTGATACTTTTTTTTTCCTTATAGCGGCTGATTCTGTGTGTGATACATGTAATTATAAAAATTTATCCAATGAACAAGGATAATTTTTGAAAATGTGGCGAAAGTGGGGTTTGAAATTTAGATGAAAACTCAAATTACTCTGTTCATGAGTTTATTAATTAATTAAGAACTTGAAAATGGTTCCAAATACTGCACATCCATAAAAACGTCTTCAACGCAGTATTTATGATAAACCTTTCCTCCTGCATCTCAATTAACCGATCTTGTTCACAAGATTTTAGCCATTCATCGATCCCTATTTGAGAGAAAGAAACAGTGTAAAACTCATTTATCTTGTTTCTGATCAATTCTAAATCAAAACTATCCAAGTTTATTTGTAGTATAAGAAACCCCTGAAATAAACCAAAGTTTAGTATAAGTACATAATATAATACACACGAAAAATCCCATAAACCAAAGTATCAAGACGTGTCACTCCTACTAATCAGTCAACGCTTGCACATGGCTCAATATCGATGATTGTGTATGTTCTGCATCTTGTTGACCAAGTATTCTTTGATAAACATTGAAAACAATTTGTCTTGCTTGCGATTGAAGAGGTTTCTTCGACATTTTCATCACTTTTTAAAGGAAATTTGAAGCCAAACCAAAAACAATTCCTCAAAATTTCAGTTGACAGATGAAATTTTTCTTTTATTGCCATATGAAAATCGCTAATTTTTAAACTTTTTTTTTGCCATCAGATTCTGGTAGACCTATATATATTTTTGTTATTAATAGCTTCGAATCTCTTCGGATCAACCGTGGTAGAGACAAGAAAAAGATGGCGCGCAACCAAAAAATGTAACGGTATTTTTTTTCCAACGCCGATTAAGAAGTTTGACTTGAAAAAGCAACATGGCGCGTAACCTAAAAAGTGACGATTTGCTACAAAATTTCATTTACATACATCGATAAAGAAGTTTCACTTCAATAAACAGCTGTTTAATCACTTGGAGCAATGACGCTGGAGAATGGTTGGAATGAGGATGGTGTATCGCTTGATTGTGATTAGTCAAAGCCTTGGTTCCTTTTTTTTTATAGAATAGGGCAAGAGTCTCACATGATGTTAAGTGATGGTCCCATAGACACTCTAAATGTCAGAAGTCTCGCGACTACGTTGCCGGCTTTTTAAGAATGACCACGGTCTTTTCTAGAAGGCCAAGTCGAATTGGTTCGGAGATACACATATATCACAAGGAAATGCATTATGGTTCTGAGAAGTTTTGGTTATTAATATTGCTTTCTCTTTTAAATTGATATTATTTTCTTTATATTCTAATGCTGTCTACCTTAAGAAAATATATTTTTACCAACATTATGAAAGATTTTATGTTCTTAAGTCTATATTTATTTCTTAATAAGCAACTTATTTTTTTTTTAGAACATGGGACAAACTGGCAGGAGGCTCACCCAATGTTAAGTAATACCGCCCGCCACCTATGGCCCTCTCAATGCCAGAGGGCTCGCGAGTGCGTTGCCGGCCTTTTAAGAATTGTTACGCTCCTTTCTTGAAGAACCTGACCTTGTGTGCCTGTGTGTGCATGACACACATCCTTTCGTCAAACATGCATCTCACGATCTTATTGATTTATTAGGTAATAACTCTTAAATCTTTACCTGATAAGTTCCGTCGGGCAGCAATTTCCCACCCTGAATGGTAAAGTGGCAGTCCTGATGTGGTTTCCCCGCTCTTTCATACAAATCGCAATATATATGACCCAATAGTCCTTCGGTCTCGTGTACCACGGCCAACTTGTATACATCCGGAGCCCACGACTCTCCTTACAGAAAACATTATTTAATTAAAACTTCTTTAAGGCATTTACGTTTTAAGTGCTTTTCAGTTAACTGCAAAAAGGAAAATGGATTTTAAATCTCCAGCTCTATTATTTTTAAGTGGGGGAAATATGTTACGCATACCCCCAGCGACACGACAGCTTGGGGGCGGAGAGTTATGTAAACCCACTAAAACCCCACTGCGCCACCAACACTCGGTTTAGATGGGGCGCACTTCTTCACGAACGTGAAAAAAACCCGCAGCTTTTCTTTTCTTCAGCTTTCCCCTGGGGTATATTTTTTAATTAATTAAAACCCCAAAAGAGACAAGACACAAGTTTTGTTAAATGAGTAGAATTTTACACTTTCGCGCGATAGATGGCGTTTATTCAGGGACATTTTAGAATATCAATCAAACTTAAATCTACTTTCAAGAGATGCTAAACCATTTATTTTAATTTATGTATGAATACATATTTAACAGCGCTCGAGACGAGATTGAGAATTGAGATACAAATTAGAATAAAGACCTCAATCAAACGGTGTACAATTACTAAAAATCACTCGAAATGTCAAATTATGTAATTGATTAAAGTACTTGGAAAAGGACTGAAAAAATTATAAAGTTTTTGAATAAGTTAAAACATTTTTCGAGACTTTTGAGATAATATAAATCAAAAATAAAAAGCTATAAAAAATATTTTTGAGTGACACAGAGCATTAATTATTAAATTGACGTTTGCCACATGACTTTTTCCATAGACTAGTCAAGACTCTAAGCAATATTGACATTTTAGAAAAACTTATGAAGATATAAAAATACCTGGCAACATTTCTTCCGATTTTAAACTAATTCCATACAATTCTTGGCAGAGCATGTTTAGCCCTTCCATACATCCTCCCAACGAGAAATACGGACTGAAATCTGTGTTAGCCACGTTTAGAAGCTGTGTTTTGGCTTTGTGTGTGAAGTATGGCGTATCCCAACACATTAGACTGTTCTGAAATTTTTATTGTCATTATGGAAGAGAGGCACATAATTACTTAATTGATAGTGCCTAGAATCATGAAAAGTAAATGCTATGATATGCCATTTAAAAATCATATGTTCATTTCTTAAACGTAAGTTATCGGGTTTGTATTTATAAAAAAATCAGTGGCGTTACTTTTTTTTAGGTCTGGGGCTCAGATTTCTGTTCAGTTTCATGATCATTTGCCAATTTAAAAGGCAAGAAGGTGATCAGGCTCCTGTGCATGACACACGCGACTTTTTGGGTATATTACAAACCGGTTTCCTCACGATGTTTTCCTTCAGCGTTCGAGCGAATGTTAAATGCGCACATAGAAAAAAAGTCCATTGGTCTACAGCAGGGGATCAAACCTACTACCTCAAGAATGAGAGTATGGTATTTTTGGGGTAGGGTATAGGGTATGTATAGATGATATATATTAATAATAGGATGAAAATAAATACAAACCATCCAATGATGCAAAATCTGCATTCGTTAATATATAATCATTAATTAGAGTTTCAGAATCCAAACTCAGCTAACTTCAATCTCGTATGTCAAAATCAAATAAGTTTTTAGTTTCTGAATCTACCCTCATAATGTAATGATTTATAAGAAACAAAGCTTGATTTTTCTACTGCGAAAATTGTTATGTTTAAGAGAGTTATATTTTTGTATTTACACCAACAATTAAAAAAAAGTTACAAGTGACACAAACTAGAACCATTGTGTGGTCCCAATAATAGGTGAGGGCACAAATTGTAAAGTTTACATAGAAAAAATTACAACAAGAGGCCAAATTACAAAAGATAGCAATGATCCTAAATGAGTTATAACAGAATGCTCCTCCCGGACCAGATTGTCTATAAATAAGGAAATACACTTTTTTTTAATTTCGTATATCTTAATATATATATTTCTTGTGTGCGTGTGTATGTGACTGAACTTCTCTCAAACGACTGGACCGATTTTGATGAAATTTTTTGTGTGTGTTCAAGGGGATCTGGGAATGGTTTAGATTCACAAATCAGCCCGGCAGATGGCACTGCAGTCGGTACTTTCATACTTTGCTTAATATCCTAATCGCTTTAAATATCATGCAGGACAACGTCTGTGGGGTCCACTAGTTATTTATATATATTTAATGTTGTACCTGGTATGGGGATTCCTGCCTCTTCATCTTGGCCATAGCTTCAAAGTCCACATTGGCTCTATCATGGAGATTATCGGAAAGTATATCTAAGAACTCCCGAACATTTGTCGACGTCTCCATTGTACTAGCTTTAATTGCTCTGTAATTTTTTGAAGTTATACTTTTTTTGCGCGTTAGGGAAAAATGATGAGAGTAAATTTTGACGATGCGCGCGCACACCGTCACAAAAACCCGACACCCTGAAGTAAGCTATAGTCAGAGTTTTAGTTTTTTCTATTGTTAGTGTCGTTTTTTATACAAACGGAGAATAAAATTATGAAAAGATTTCTATCTTGTTACGCCAAAGAAGTATAACTTCTAACGCGTGTACATAAGTACACACACGTTTTTTTTAATGAAGCTTTAATATAACGATTAGCTTGGCATCAGATTGGAACTTTTCGTGATCATTGATGCGAACCATATAAAGCCGAGGGTAAAACCGGTTTTTATTTTTGCTCTCTAACATAACACATGTTAAAATGAGCACAAACAGATACTTGTGAAAATATTATATAGAAAGGATATACACGTGTGAAAATGACATGAGAACTTATGAACGCGCAGCGCTACCAGATCCATGCAACTACTTTACAATCGAGTAGCCCACTATATCGCACACAACTCCCGATCTGCTGAGCATCCGCGAATATACAATGTAAATAAATAAATAGCAAATGTAGAAATATAATTAGGGAAAAGAAAATACATAATAATAATAATAGCAAATAATTAATACGGCAAGCAAGAGCGGTCTTATTTAACATAATCTTTTTTTTTAGAGTATAATATTTAATTATTTCCCTCAAGGACCATTTGTACTAAATATGGAAAACGGTAGTAGTCACACCGATACTAATACAATTTACCTATTGGGATATATGGGATATTACCTATCCGCATAGCTCTCAAAGCCGCATAGCTGGGCAAGCCGATGTCTGGCTTGTAGAGTAGCACTGAGCAGGCGCTCCTGTCTTACATCTGGAGCTAGATACAGGCGATAGGCGGCTTCTCTTGCTGCTGCCTCTCCACATTCAGCATACACACCACTTACTATGATATCGTCGCCTTCAGAACTGAAACTAAGAATGTATTCTTGAAATAACTACATTACTTATAAACAATTGTATATATTTCGCAGCCAACTAGCTTAATTAGCCATTCAATTAACAGCCTAGCCTTTTAACTTAATGGATCCATTTAACTAGCGGCCTGAAAGATGTTCAGCTGTAGCGTTTATAACAACATTTAATAATAGATTTACCATGTGACCATATTACCTCTAAAAATTAATTCTACTTACAATTGTCTTACATTCTGTGGCACAACTGATCTAGGAACTCTTCGAGGTTTTGCTCCACCAGCCATAAACTGTTGTCCGGTTTGTAAAATCAAATCATTCAAAGCTACAACTTCACGTCTTGCATTCTCTTCTAATTGTATACCACTTTGTTCAAAATCAAATAAAAATAATTCTGCTAGGTGTTTATCGCCTGATGTACCAGTTTGTACTGAATTTTTTAGAGCTTCATATAAGCCTTTATGTGTATTTAATCTGTAATTTTTTTATTATTTATTGTTTATAGATAAGTTAATAATGATAATTTGGAAATTTCTTAATAGCATGTTGAAAACTACCTCTATCGGATTATCCAATAGATTAGCTTTCAAATACTTGGTTGAATATAATTCTAATAAAAAAACTATACATATATTTTTTATTAAAATTTGTAAAAATTTAAAGACTTTTAAAACATAGCTAAGACTTACTTTTCAACAACACCACTGACACTAATACATGCGTCTTCTGCTGCACTAGCAAAATGTGGTTGTGGATGAGCTATTCGAACAAACTCTGCAAGATCTGCTACTTTGCACAGAGTATCAGACAACTCGTCAAATATCTCAACCATAGGCCTTGTGGGATTTGATGTAGCCTCTTCTATTAACCGGTCTGTGGCCGTTATGGCCTGCTCTTTTAATGTGTGGAATCCTTCAAAACTTGTTAGTTCCGGTTTATTAAAAAGGCCCTAGAACACATAAGATTTACACCTATTATACTGTAAACATAACATCTACTAATTACTAATATTTCATATTATTATTTCAGATTTCTGAGCTTTAATAGATTAAGGATATAAAGGATTCAAAATTGGAACACATCCTTCTTTTTTAACTTCTGCCCACAGTTTTACCCATATAGATTTATATTTTGTCAACAACAATTGTTATATTTTTTCTATTAATTACATAAAACAATATAACACCTAGCCCCTCCTCAAGATTTACACTATCTAATTTTTGAGTAAAATATTGTTTACTGAACAAAAATCTATTTAATATAAGTACAAAGTCTGCTAACCAAAATCTGACATTAATTAATCATGAAGGAAGGTATAGGAAAGTAAATCAGATTACTCACAGTTCTCTCTCTCAAGGAGTCAAATATAGGTCTATGAGTAGGCCTTGTGTTAAAAGCAGTGGCTAATGGTGACCAAGTACTGACACCGCGCCGACTTGCTCTCCAAATAGGCTTTATTAGCTTCATGATACCTAGAATATACAGTATTTGATTAAAATCTCATGTCATTGAGATAAATTTGTTACCAACGAAATCAATTTTCTAGAATCCCAATAATTATTCTAAACATTGTGAAATTTTATTATATGATATTTAACCGAAACTTTTATGGGTTAAGTTTTAATTTAGAGGATCTTTTTGTTAAAAATAATAGGTACAATTTTAAGATAAAAATTGTAAAGGTTTGTTAAATAAGAAACAAACCGTTGTTTTCTTATCTGAGTGTAAAACTGTAAAAGGTTGTTTACTTTGGATTTTCAAACACTATCATAATAATACTAACCTTTTTAGAGAAACAGTTAATCAATATATAGTTATTGTTGATAAATATATTAGTATCTAATATGTTAATGCTCAACTTATAAGAATATTATGATTTCTAAAATCATAAAAGAAATTCAATTTTCAAACATTTGTCGCTATTAGGTATTACATTCTTCGCCTACTAAATCTGCTCTTCAGAGTTCAGACTTCAGTCTTCAGTCTGCACTCTCGAATCACAGACTAGGATTTATAAAGACTCAAGAGTCAAGACCATAGAAATATCACTCTGTCAAACTCAAGACTTTGGTCTAATCTGGCTAATGACAGAAGATAATTGAATTATTTGAAAACTTTCGGATGGCAACACAGATTGTCATTGAATTTCTTAGGTTAGTAAGATTTATTGTCTTGATACTTCATGCAATTACTCATTTTTATTTCTATTATATATTTTTTCCGAATAGTTAACAAGTATAATAAGAACCAGCCTAAACATTTAGAAAGTTTCATAATCAATGTGAGAGACAGTGATAACAGCAATGACTCTGATGAATCTATGCATATTGATTTTTTGGATTCTGTTTTTGATTATTCCGAATTAAGTTGTGTTTTATAATAAATATAGTTTTAGTTTTCCATGCAATGCTAGTCATTTTAAGTATCAATAGTAAAAGACTAAATACGTTACTATCAATGTAAAAAATAATAAAGTAAAATCAAGTATCAAGTAAGTTTAATCCACAAAATATATCAAACTTTTAGGGATACCATACTGATTTTTTTTTAATTTGCCGCGCTTTTTCGTTATCTTCTTTCATTAGCCACTTTAGCAGAGATATTATGCCTTCTAATCAACGAACGCCTTATAACTTGCTTGCTTCGTCCCAGCCCGAGTGGCTAAGATGGAAAAGTTGTATTTTATGTATTGTATGGACGAATTGGTTCGAAAATACTAATTCAGTGTGTAGCTGTCTTCACATAGTGGTAGTGCGCGGTAAATACTGCCTTAAATCACGCTCAGTTGTGGAACAACGGACGTTGAGGTGATACGGATAGAATTTCGTATTCTGCTTCGACGTTCGACCATGACATTCAGCTGCAGGAATTAAGGCCTTCTATGTGTCAACCTACGAACTTTTCAGTCAAATCGATTACAAGTTGTTGTTTGTAGTAAAAAGAAAACAATTTTTATGGCCCAACTGCTTAAGCAATTGTAAACTCCAATTTCGCAAATCGATTAAGATCATTGAACCATCTTATTCGAGTTCCACTTATCATGGAAACGGCATAGCCTACGGGTCAGATTCATTTGTCATTTTAGTACAGGAGCTAAACTGAAGAGTTCGTGAGTGGTCACGTCTCGTGACATCAAACTTTAGTCGAGAGTGGGTCCCCTAATCTCCTCTTTTTACATATTAGTATTCTAATCATTATGACAGTGTTGCCAACTTGGGGGTTTTCCCCTCAAATTTAGGGGTAACCAAGATGTCCAGGGGGTTGTTAAAGGGGTACATTTATTTAGAAGGATTTTTTAGGGGGTACTTTATTCAAGAATTTTTCTTCTCTACAAACACACGATTTCAAGCCTGGCAACAGCTTAAAATATATCGAAAAACAATAATTTTATGTGTAAAATTTGTTCATTCTGACTGTATGATCAAATAATTTAACGTCAATATGTACGATTTCAAAAATATCAGCAACAGCAAAACACAGCGAAATATTAGAAGCTGATCCCAATGACATTTAATAATATTGTATTGGAAGGAAAAAAGCACATTGAAGCAATTCGTTTTTTATTTTAATTCTGTCTAGTTTAACTGTAACAGAACAGATAAAAAAGAAAAAGCTTTAAAAATAATGTATGAAAGAAATCGACGAAAACGCAAGAAATTGTCTACCAAGAAATGTTAAAAAAAAACTGAATTCGAAGAAAGAAAGGTTAAGAATAGTTTCATCTCATTGTTATTATCATTAATATTATTCGGTCATTGATTAACATATATAAATATGTAAAATGTACTCACATAAATACAACAGCTAAGTATTGTTTACTAATTCAACGTATTTTTAATTCATATTCGAAATTACCTCTCAAGTGTACAACAAAAACTTTAGGGGTTTTTGATAGAATTTAGGGGTATTTGAAGTTGGTCCTAGAGGGAACATTTTGTAGGAGTTGGCAACCCTGAATTATGACAGTAACTATAGGTCTACCAGGATCTGATGGCAAAAAGGGAAAAAATAAATTTACGCTAGCAATACTGGGGAAATTGGAGTAAAACGTTTTGATACTTTTTTTTTCCTTATAGCGGCTGATTCTGTGTGTGATACATGCAAATATAAAAATTTATCCAATGAACAAGGATAATTTTTGAAAATGTGGCGAATGTGGGGTTTGAAATTTAGATGAAAACTCCAATTACTCTGTTCATGAGTTTATTAATTAATTAAGAACTTGAAAATGGTTCCAAATACTGCACAGCCATAAAAACGTCTTCAACGCAGTATTTATGATAAACCTTTCCTCCTGCATCTCAATTAACCGATCTTGTTCACAAGATTTTAGCCATTCATCGATCCCTATTTGAGAGAAAGAAACAGTGTAAAACTCATTTATCTTGTTTCTGATCAATTCTAAATCAAAACTATCCAAGTTTATTTGTAGTATAAGAAACCCCTGAAATAAACCAAAGTTTAGTATAAGTACATAATATAATACACACGAAAAATCCCATAAACCAAAGTATCAAGACATGTCACTCCTACTAACCAGTCAACGCTTGCACATGGCTCAATATCGATGATTGTGTATGTTCTGCATCTTGTTGACCAAGTATTCTTTGATAAACATTGAAAACAATTTGTCTTGCTTGCGATTGAAGAGGTTTCTTCGACATTTTCATCACTTTTTAAAGGAAATTTGAAGCCAAACCAAAAACAATTCCTCAAAATTTCAGTTGACAGATGAAATTTTTCTTTTATTGCCATATGAAAATCGCTAATTTTTAAACTTTTTTTTTGCCATCAGATTCTGGTAGACCTATACCTTCAATGGAAGTAGGAACATTCAACATAGTTTCCACTAATTGGATATCATTTAGGGGCCTCATAGTCTAGCGGTTTAATAACTTGCAGCTAGGTGAGGGGTACGGGTTCGATTCCCGGTTCGAGGGCAATTTTAATTTAAATTTGTTCTCGGCCTTTGGGAGGGTTGTGCGGTACCGGGCGAGTGCCTAAACCGTACATGTTGGACACGGTCGAATTTCTAAAGACAAGCACGAATTATAAAAAATCCTATACTTGACGCTGGCTAATGCACAAATCGTGCCAGAGCCATAAAAAAAAAAAAAAAATTGGATATCATAGAGTGAGTTTTTATATGGCATAATGGCGGGTATGTTCAAAAACTCGAATTCATTAGCTTAAGACTTTCAACAATTCAATTCAACCAAAAGGGTACACATTTATAATTGTTTTTAATAAAATAAACAGTAACTAAGATAAGCGTTTATTGTAAATATTGTGATATTGATCGGTTTTAGGATCTAAATAAAAATACCTGAAAAGATGCAAGTGAATAAGAGGCATTCCCATTTAGTATAATTTAACGCCTAATAATAATTGAATGCATTACCATTTTTACACATTTTTCACCTTCAGTGTGAACAATACATACACTAAACAATACATAAAATGGTTAAGATTTTTTATAGGATTTGTTTTCTATAGATGTTGATTTATATTATTTTCTATAATAGCAAATTGCAAGAATCAAACATTACTAATGATTTAACATGAGATTCAAATTAAAAATCTTTTACAGTCATAATAATTAGTCACTAATAAAAAAAACTTATACACTAGGTACTTATATACTATTATAGTGGCCATGTCATGTAAATAATTATAATTAAAGCTAATTTAATGAGCCCAGATTGCCTTTTAAAATTAATTCTGAAATGCTTAAATAAAGATGTCCAAAGTATTCAACACTGTAAAAACTTATTATGTTATATTTAAAGCTGAGATAAAAATACAACCTGAACCTTTATTCTTTAATCTGAGTTTTACAGGATGTAAAATATTCTAATAAAATAAATATTGATTTCCATATTTTACAGAAAAAGCATACAATTGTTAGATTCAAGTATGAGTATAAAAATATTCAATTTTAATGACTGTAATTGTTTTAAAAAAATATGGCAAACATATTTTAACTGGATGGATTTTGTAAATATTGTATGAACTAAGCCAAAAATTAATTAAAGTGTATATGTCTCATTTACCTTAACATGAAATACTTTTAAGCAAAACTGATTTATAAAGCATGAGATTCTCTCCAACACAGTTAGACCTGTTTGAGCATTGTTACTTATAATTTTACTACCTTTAACACAACTTTTATCATTTTCACTTGGAAAATTGGGAAATGCTTCAGTACAAAAATGAGGATAGTAAGAACTGTGTTCTATTAAATTAATGTATTGATATTTACTTGCTTCCCCGAATAATTTTTTTTCTAGAGAGCATGGTGATACTACATACAGTTTATATTTTTTCTTGTATTTATGATAGCGCATTTCTGCATTTGATAACACTTCATCAACATTCATAAATAGTTGATCCATTGGTAATGAACCATATTTATGAATAAAGGTTGATGGAGCGATTGTAAAACTATGTTTTGTTGTTCTATCCTTCCAAATTCTAGTAGTGCTTTCTAGTTGAAGAAGATAGGTAGGAATGCTATAACTATGTGTAGTAATTACATGCATATGAGAACCAAAGCTGCCTTTGTTTTCATAATAAAGATCATTAATAAAAGGATAAATACCTCCTTGATGGATGAAACCAAAAAATATAGCAAAAATCATATTTAAGCCATACCATACAATTATAAGTAACTTCTTTAATGTCTTTACATCCATGTCATCTACCTCACATATATGGATACTGTTACCATATAAATATACTAGAGGCACTAGTATTGGAATTATAAAACGGGCTTCTTGGTGAGGAAATAAGGAGAGCACAGCTAACGGTGTTATTGCTGATAATAGCATTAGTCCTCTTATGCTTTGTATTTTAGGCATTTTACTGTATTGTCCCTTGACAAACCTGCAATTCACACAACAAAACATAAATTCATTGTAATAAACCTTTTAATAAAGTTTACAGTAAAAAAGTATTTTAAATTTAAAACATTACCTGTACGTATTAAGTATAACTGCACATCCAGCTAGTAACCCCAAAACATTAAAAAGGATGGGTACATTCACAGCCAAGTGAAGCCAACGGGGATGAATTCCATGTTTAGTTAGTTTTCTTACATCAGTGTTATATCTTAAGAAGTTAAGAGGAGTCACAACCCAGTTACTCCAAGATATTTGAAGAGATTCAATATCGGCTAATGTCAGGTAGCCATAGTAGGCGGAATCAACAAGGATGCACAACAAGACCATTGGTATACCACAAACAACTAACATAAATATTCTGGCATGAAAATCGGCAAACCCTACTATTTTGGAACCAATTCCTCTATGCAACCAAAAGAATATAGGTATTAGAGCAAATCCTATGAATGTAGGACGATTAAATATTCCTATCACAACCAAAGACGCCAAGCTCAAAACATTGTTTAAAGAATGCTGAGGTAAATGTGTTTGCATTTTATATATTCTCACTCTCTCCATAGGTGTAACAGCATGTTTGTATTTTTCTTGTAAATATTCTTGGTGATAAATGACATTGTCTGACTTCAGCATACAGTCTCCTACTAAATAAAGTAGAATGGAAAAAAATAACATTTCAAATGTATTTGAAAAACATCTGCAACAATATATGAGTACAACATAAGAACTTGCAAATATTTTTAAACGGTTTCTGAAATTCTGACCATACATTATACAGAGTTTATAAAGACAATAATCGTTAATTAATGAGAGAAGACATATAAAAAGTCTAGGTATGACTAGTAAGAAGTATGGTGAACGCAAGTCTATTTTAAAGTAGTGTTTTATAAAGGGATTAAGAATCCTTATAATGTAAAGTGGTGGGCCTAAAATAAGTTTTGGTATAAATATATTACGTATTGGGAATTTTGGATCGAATTCCCACGTTCTTGCAACATCTACATCAAATATATCACCTGAAAAAGAATTAATATTTTATAATTGTTGTTTATAACAAGACTATTTGTTTCTATACCCCAGACTGAACGACTATGTCAAAGATAATTAAATATGTAACAATATTCTTGACTTACCGGCAATAACTTCAACATTTTGAAAATATTCGTCTGGGTGAATGTATCCTGTTTGAGGTAGTAGCGTTAATGCAAATCTAAGAGTAACTAGTACCCAGTATGAAAACGGCAGTGGCACCGTGTTCTTAAACTTTATAGATTTAAGTATATTTCCTTTCAGAAACATTTTTTGTTTTTTTTTTTTCAGTGATATATTATGTGGATGTGGACATTTTAAGCATCACCGTTTCATGAAACTGCACAATATCGAGCTTATACATTAATTTCTGCTGAACTTCAAACATTTTTAGGTATTCATTGAATTATTTTTTATTTCGCAAGTAGGAACTTGTTATGACTTATGAGTATGAGTACTCTTTTTCCTTTATTCGTTTTTTAAATTTTGACTCCGCCTCAGCTACATCAATATTTGAATTTCGATTTTCGAATTAACGAAAAGTCATTTCTTTGATGTTTGACAGCGGAATCCGGACAGTTACGTTTGTAGGGTTATAAATGGGTGCGGTTGTGAGCTGTTGTGACTATGATCTATCAATAAGCAACAGTCACATTTGGAGGCAATTGTCAGGCGTGACGTCCTGCCCGATCACCTATCCTTTTTCATATCTTCGTCAACTAACGGCCAAAACCAATATGCAATCTCAATCCAATTTTAGCTATCATAGACTGACAATTCAATCCATTTCTAAAGAAAAGCATGCCAATATTAAATCCATGGACTGAGATACCAATCTAATTATTCAACCAATCGTTCAGAGGGCGGATAAGAGATTGAAGATTGCCCTCTGTATGAAAATGAATGTTTACTCATGCCAACAACCTATCTGTCCATTTTGACAGTTGCTTCGATTGGCCAAATCAATCTCGGATTGCTATCGGTGAAACTCGTATGATTTGGGTTTGGGATTGCGACCTAACTTAATATTCATTGGGAAAATTTATTCATCTTCGTCATCTTCCAGTTCTAGTGATAGTGATTTGGAAGTTTAAATGCAATTATCCGATTGGGATAGTAATTCTGAAGCTGGAAGAAGACAACGTACTTCTGTGCGAAGACATAAGAAGACAAGAATTAATGATGATGAACCAGCTTATGATATTGATCAAAGCGCTATTGACAACGTGGGAAATGCAAGTGTGCGAAGTAATCTTATAAGTGATTATTTTGCTTTATTACTATAATATTTTATAAATTACAACATTTTTGAGATAAATTAAATAAAAATTCAATGCTTTTATTCAAATAAAAATACAAATTTTTAATACAATACATCCTTTCTCCAGGCACAAAATCTATTATTTTTCTAATTTATTTAACAATATATTTTTTTCTATGGCCCATAATTCTCTTTTATGCTCTCTTGCTTCCTCTTCAAATGCCCATTGCTTTCTCTTATTTAGAAGCTCTTCCTTTCAATTGACTTTCAATTCCTTCGACAGACAACAATATCATGTCTTTGACTTTTTCCTCGATAGGGGTAAGAGGAGTAGCAGCACTAGGGCCACCTGTACGATATGTTTCAGCATGTATCAAGGCAGAATTTTCTTGTAGCCCTCTTTAAGCTTTAGCACTGCGAAAGTTGACCCCACTTGTGCTATTAAACAGCGCCTCCAGCGTCTTCCAGCACTGCTCTTTCTCCTGCCAGGTGACTGAGTCACTCTTTTTATTTTCTAATATATTTTTATGGTCAGCAACAAGCGAAGTTAGAAGGTCAACTTCTTCCCGGCTGAAATTGACGCTTCTTTCACGTTTTTGCGTAGTCATTTTTTTTAAGTTAAAGAACCAACCTCGAATCACAAAAACAACATACACAAACTACTCAGAGAAAATTTATATTTGAAAGGTCAAGCCGAAGGCGCCCTAAAATACTCAATAACCTAACAAACAAAAATACCATATGAAAATGACAGCCCGTTTCGTTACAAGTAATATTAAATGACCAACAAAAAGGTTAAGGTTCTATGTTTTTCTATAGAATTTTGTAACTTTATTTGTTCGTAACAAAAAAACAAACAAAAACGTTGCATAGCTATTTGCTACTTTATCCATACATTGTGAAACAGACCCTAAGTCTTACTTATTTTATTTCGTTGAAAAAACAGCACACTTTTGGTATGCTTGAACACAATATATTGCATTGAACGAAACGCGGTCGAGAGGGAAGGATCACGCAAAAGATTGCTGTCAATCTTTTGTCAAATAAACAATCGGATAGCAGAAATGTTTATTGGCATGCAGATTGGAGATCGGTCTTTAGATATGAATCAGTCCAAGATTGGTTATAATCATAGATTGAGGATACATTATTAATTTTGGCCGTAAGACACACAGAGCCTTACATATAGTTTTCTCACGCGTCACCAATTAGTATGCAATGTAAAATGAAAAGAATAATTTTGCATAAAAAGTTAAGACATTTTAGCAACATTCGTTTTAAATACAATTTTTTTTTAATGCTTGTTAGTTTGTTTATCTCGATGATTCAGAAATATTACTGTCAGTTGTAGGCTGTAGCGGATTGATCATAATTTATTCATGACGTTTAGCTCTTGGAGAATAAAAGAGGACATATATAACTTGATATGCTTTATTAGTATAAATATTAAGCAATTTGCCACAAATACTACAAGTGCAACTTCACATAATGTAAGGTAAATCGCTTATTAAACAATACCTGGCCCATATTCCTAAACCAAGATCATGTTCTTAAGTACTTAAAGTCATTTTTTTTTGACATCTTTAGTTTCTTTTATGGAATATGGGCCTAATGATTTGTAAATAGCAAAGTTATTATAACGTGCATATTTCATTTAGGCGCCAAAGCGGTGCTAATTCGGATGTACAACTATTTTAACATTCAACAAATAATTACAATTACTGTGGCTGTGGCTGTCAATTTCTAAATTACTTACAATTGTTTGATTATTGTTACTATATTTAAATCTTCTTTGTTTACATGAGAATTGGCATCATTATACACTATGTTTGTGGCTATTATTAAATGATTAAATAAATTAAAACATTATTTACAAAAAATAATACTAATTGACCATAATCACAGTATATTAGGTTTTTTAAATGCAGATCAAATCACAACTATTACATGATGATATTGTACTAACTTTTTAAACAAAGGTCGACCAGTTGTGCATGCATTAAGTTGATTTAATTGTCTAATGTGAACAATTTTGGAATAAGTCCCTACGCAAAGTAATGAGTTATTGTTAAAGTTACAAATTTATATTTTATTGTCGATATGTACTTATATATAAAAGTTAGATTAAAAAACAGGTAACACAGAATTTATAATTAATAACCAATAGGCAATCGCAACAAAAAGACCATGATCTTAAATGCAAGTCAGCCAATGTACGTTAAAAACCTGTTGACTCCATTAAAAATAACACCAGATTTTCACTTGAATTATGTAAAAAAATAAAAAAAAAATAATGAATGTGTAGAATATTTTGATAAACAGATAAAACCAATATAAAAAAATATAAAGAAAATTGTCTACATATGAATTACCTAATTTTAAAAATAAGTGTGTAATGGTAAGTGTAATGTTAATAACATTTTAACAACCCCAAAGGAATTAACACAAAAATCGTTACCCGGCCCGAAGGACCAATTTTATCCCATATGGATACCGTCTTTATAGCACCAGGGCATTTCTTCACCGAATTTGCATTTGTGCGCATTATTCTTGGCGTCAAAGAGCAATGGATTGTCAACATATGCATCACAGGGATAGCACCATACGGAGAGGTCAGCGAGAGAAAGAGATAGAGGATGATGCGTGGTAGAATAGTGCGCTGCCATATGGCCGTTTATATGTCGACCGCAGGCCGTCTGTAACAGAAACATCACTTGTATTAGTGTGTTGCAATATAACAACAGCGATTAGTTGCGATAATTTTCTATTAAGGAATCAGTGAAATAAACCAATATGAGTTTTGTTTGGGCCCCATTAACATTTCTCTTAATAATATTAAGGAATATAATTGTTACTTAGTAATTTTAAATAACAAAGTATTACTTACAATATAGCAATGAAGGCAGACCCAATTTTCAATAGTATGATCACAGTCAGTACATTTAACGCCTTGTTGAAACTTCACATCGCTTGGTATTGCGTACAATGAATCCAAATGAGGACATCCCGGTAAAGGTACTACAGCAAACATTTCTCCATCAACTATAGCTTGCATATTATCCGATAAAAAATCTACTAGCGTCTTAGGTTTGGAACTGTCAGTTTTTGGACTTTGGTCCTTCGAGCCGGAACCTGTATTTTTTGAACTACCCTCGCCTTCATCATCCGTACCGCAGTGTATGCCGTCAGTGCAACCTATAGTTAAATTGGCTAGTCCATCTTCTAACGTCGATTTCGGTGAGACATTTTCTAGAACATTTTCGATTGGTAAAGCCAGTTGAAACTTTAGGTTTTTCCAATACTTTTTGTGTACTTTGATCACGTCATTTATTGATTCAATAGCTGAATAGTTGCAACTTGCTTTTGGGTCGTAATGTGTGTAAATTGGGTCGCCTAGAAGAGCTTTGGTACACATAGCCATAGCATACGAGATACTGGTTATGTTATAACCACCTTCCAGACAAAGTATGACACGGCCACCAGCTAGACTTCTGAGCATGTGAGTCATCACTCCGTAGTATTCTGGTGATACTTTGCAACCTGAAAGTAAATATTGTGTATCACAAAAACATATTAAAAACCTTGTTTGTTTTTTAACTTATATAAAATACATTATAGTACGAGATCCCGCTGCAGGATTGGTGCGCTCATCGACTATTTGTTTAAAACCAAATTTTTATGTTTATTTATAATTAAGAGAATATATATTTACTAGGGTGCCTATCAAAATTTGGCCGCCATTATTTTTAATTAAATTATTTTTAATTGATTTTTGGTAAAAAATTGCGTTCATTTATTATTTAAATAAAATAACGTCTACATCACGGTAATTAATATGAAGATTCTAAAAAATCACGGGTGCCGTTGCGCACATGGCCGCACCTCTTTGCAGCCAGGTGTAAACAGGTATGATTTCGATAAATTTATACGTTTATAACCTATTTTTATTAATTATATGTCAAATTGAAGCTAATTTTTTTCTATTAATTATCATATAAAGTTGCTTAAT